GCTAGAGTTACAGGTATGAGCTGCCATCACCTGGTATATTCTAGTGTTTTACTTTGCAATTATTATCTAAAAATTGACACTAGGCCTCATTCCAGAGGTATAAAAGAGTTATGGTTGTAACTAACTATAGAAATAGTAGTGAGGAATTTTCTTCTGACACTTTGGGGATGATTCTGACACTGGTAAGAGAAGAATTGGTAGAAAACCCATTATAATCTGCTCTCAATCCCTTAAGCCAATTTTTACAAATGAAACTTTATTTGTAGTTTTTACCAAGATATTTTTCCTAATTCACACATTCTTACTGAATGGAAAGTTTTAAATAATCAAACTCAGTTTTAAGGTACATGAGATTAAGTTAAAAATGCATGTCATTCTTTAAAATATTTTCATTATATTCATGTATCATATAATGTAATGTTCTTACTAACTTCCGGGGGGAAGCTGCGTTTTGAAATGGGGTCTTGCTATGTAGCTTAAACTGGCCTGACACTCCCCATCCTCCTGCCTTGGCTTCCTGAGTGCTAGCATTACAGGTGTGTACTACCACACCCAACTTACTAATTCTTACCTTCATTGCCCATCTTTTATTCTGAATTAGTAAGAGAGGAAAAATTAGGTCTTGTTTAATTTTCAACTTGGAAACTTACTTTGAGTCAATTTCCTAGTACCATATCTGGTTTTCATACTTTCCTGATGATCTCTAGAATTTGCACTTGCTATAACTTGTTATGTTTTGGAGTGATGTGTTTCTCTTAAGAATTTATATTTTATCATCCCTCTAGGCTAGGTAGCACTGAAGACCAAAATAAGCATTTTCCAAGATCTTTCAAAGAAAGCTTTTCAAACAAAATAAGCTGATTGCACTGGGTTTTTTAAGTCTTAAAGTTCAAGATAGAGCTTTAGGATTAAGATGACCACATAATTATTTCCAGGAAGAACTCAACCAAAAGCACAAAAGTGATTCCTTTCCTTGGCAAACTATTATAAAACTTAACATACAGCACATGCCTACAGTCCCACTTACTGGTGATGCCTGTAGTCCCACCTATTGGTGAGGCTGAGGCAGGAAAATCACTTGAGCCCAGGGGAGATCCTGTCTCAAACAAAAAAATAAAAATAAAAAAGTTCATTTACAGTCTCTAGCAGTAAAGCCCGGGACTTCAGAAAGACTATTAGGCCCCTAAATCTGTTTCCTGAAACTGTCCTGAAAAGAAAAAATCCTTCAGTGGTAAAAGCTAGGTATTTATGTCAAAGCAGTGCATGTAATTTCCAAAGCAACCAAGTTACATTGTGATGGTCTGAAAATTATGTAATTTTTGAATCCAAACTACTGCTGCTTTAGCTTCTATTCCTGCCCAGCTTTTCCCATGCTAACGTACAGGTTGCTGTAGATCTGAAAAACAACTTACATGTACACCTTCCCTTTATCCTGTAGCCCATAGAGAGTAGTGTGTGTGTTCAGTCTGAACTTCACCCTAGTGGGTACAGGCACATGAAGGTGTGGGCAATGCCAGTCAGTCGAGTGGCTGTCAGAAAGTAGTATTGAAGTGTTTGACAGGAGGCAGGGCTGGCTGCTTCATGGAGGGAATTATCAAGAATGAGGCACAATTCCACCACTCAGGAAACTGAGGCAGGAGGATTGTGAGTTCAAGGCTACCTAGGCTGCCCAGAGAGACCCTGTGTCAAAACGACAAACGAATGAAGCAGAAATCCAGGAGCTGGAGATGTAGCTCAGTGGAACAGCACTTTCCTAGCATGCACAAGGTCTTGCAAATTGGGGGGAGTGGGGGTTGCATTCTCATAGCTAGAGAAGACTGCTGAAGTTCGGAGAAAGCCTGTTTTGTTCCCTGACTGCCTGCACCTTGCTTAGAATCAAGAGAGTAAAATGCTTTGACCTTAGATTGTGCCCAACTTGGTCACCATGGAACTGCTAAAATATTACTGCACAGGCATATCTTGTATGCTGTGGTTCCTTGGAACCAGAAACAGGCATGTGTTATTGATGTGGGTTGTGGGAAACCATTGTAGTTTTATTGAGTATCTATCTCAGTATTGGCTATAGTGCTATTTCTGAAGGTTTTTCTGGAAGCACCTATACTGGCTCTGGATCATAGACTGGGGGCAGCAAGAGAGCAGGGAGAGAGAAGCTAACTCAGGAAGAGCTCCACCCCTTGCTTGGTTCCTCCTCAGAGGCTGGACTTTGGGTGATTCCAGGTGTTTGCCAATAGAAGAGAGAAAAAAAGTGTGTGTGTGTGTGTGTGCTCAGAGAGCTCTAACAATAAGTGACCCTGAGGGGAAGGGTATGGGTTGAGACAAGGACAAACATGGACATAGCCCGCACAAGAGTTAAAACCTTCCTTTCCTCTGGTGCCTTCCAAAGTCTGCCACCAAGAGCCCTCCCGGGCCGGGCCCCAGTTCTCCTGTCGCTGTGTTGGAGGAAAGGAGCACGGGCGGGGTTGGCCAAGCTCCCTCCCCGGAGGTGCCTCCTCCAATGGTGAGGAGGAGAGCAGCAGCTGAACACACCCCCTCCCAGCGCTGCAGCAGAACGGCTGGGCCCTGTGCCTGGCTGGCTCACTCCAGCTCAGCTCCCCCTCCTGCCATCTTCCGTTGCAAAGCATTTCTGGGAGCTGCATGTGGGTGACGCAGCAGCATTGTTCGCAGGCACAGGAAGCCGCGGCTGAGCTGAAGGGCTCGAGAAGGAGCTCAGCCGCCACACATTGCTCTCTCTGAGTGGCCTGACGGGTTAGAACCGGACTGCCCTGCCTTATGTACTCTGGGAGATTCCAGAATTTTCAAGTAAATTAGGATTTCCTAGTGGCAGAAAACCTAACTCCTTCTGCACAACTTCCAACACAGAAAACAAAACAAAGACGCTGGGGAAACTTCACCCAAGAACCTCCTCTGCAGCTCCAAAGCAACGAGAAACGCAAGGTCAGGCGGTCAGTTGGCAAACCCTTTCTGGTTTGGGGTGTATGTAACTGTAGGGACTTTGTCTCTGCAAAAAGGCAAAAGAACTGTCGGGCGAGTCCGGGACAATGCTTATATTACTTATGTTACTTGAGCCATCATTGCACTTGTTTCTCACGGGTAGGATGTGCTTTGGAACTGGGTCGCTTGGCTTCTGGGAATCCTTCCCCCTTCTGCCCAGACACTCTCAGTTCTCTTTCCCTTTCCTGTGTTCTGTGGGGTGTGGGCCTGTGTTTGAATGTTCTCCCAAATGCCTGAAGCCTAGATAGGCGTCAGCCTTTCCACACTCCACCCCTGCTCCCCATCCCAAACCTCTGTTGAGGGGTGGTGGTTTCTTTATATGGTTTCTCATAGGGCCTTAGTTGGAGTCTGCCCTTTTTTCTTTTTTCTTTCTTTCTTTCTTTTTTTTTTTTCTTTTTGATGAAAGCAGTGTGTGCTTGGTTGAATGGCCCCAGTGAAATAAGGGTTGGAAGGAAATCTGCATTTCCCTCCACACCCACACATACCCCAGTAACTGAGCCATGCATGTGTGAACAGCCTCCCCCCGCAGTGCTCCGACACAGTTTCTCCGCCTACCTTTCCCTGTACCCCCCACAGAAGTCTCGCAGGTAGAATTAGACTGCTTTTGGTGAAGTTAGTCTCTTTTCCTACTCTCTTAATCACAAATCTTTCTCTGTAGTCTGTTTTGCTGAAAGTGGAAAGTCCCTGTTTGTGAACAGCTCAGTTCTCTCTAGCAGAGGAAATGGGCAGAGTCCTACTCCTCAGCAGTGTGAGGTGGGGGAGGGGGGTTGTGCACTCCCTAGCACACATTTTGAATGGGCTCAAATTTTTCACCCTAGGGAGATTAGGAGCTAGGATCAGAGCCTTGTCCCACGTGGCACCACACCCTGGCTCTTCACCCCCACGCAGTATGTTGCTAATAGGAGGCTCCAGAATAGGACGCCATAGCAACTTGAAGTAAATAAATGTCTGCAAATGAGATCAGTTTGGGGGAAGGTGTGAAGCATCTGGAGATCTAGCCAAAGCCTCTCAGGATGTTAAAGGGGGTTTTGAGTTCCAACTCTGGGATTTCCTTAGGTTAAGGATGAAAATAATTAATTAAAGTTCTGATTGTGAAAATGATTGTTAAAGATGGCCCAGGCATGCTGACCTGCCTAGGTCAAAGTTTTTCCAGAAACAGTTACTGTCCTGTATACACCTAAGGCCAGTGTAACTCGTCTCCCAGATTTACATTCTTTTGCTGTAGCATTGCTTTAGGGCTTGGTGCAGTCAGAGGGGGCAAAGGGTGTCACTCTACTGGAAGGTTTGGGCCTCAGAAATTTGTTTAAAAATGTTTGTCTCAAAATAACAGTCAACCAATGTGATTCACTTAAGTGGCAGTTTCTTACTATAACATTGTTCCTAAGTCATCCAAACTCGACTGGTAAAAGTCATAAGAACTATTGTGCCTAAGATTACTTAATTCTGCTCCAGATTGCTCATTGCTCCTTTATTAGGAATAAAGGGCAAATAGGTTACCAACTGTGGGGGTGGGGGGGAGTCTGTCATAAGTCGTTAAGGTTCTGTTCATCTCACTAATTTAGTATTAGCGAATCATTTTGATGCCTTTTTGCTCACAAAAACAAAGTTAACTACCTAAGTAGGCAAAACTTAAAACTATCTAATAATCACTAGCTGTATAAAAGTGAAGAAGCAATATAAAGTTTTACCATCCCATATAGAATTGCATGACAAGTAACACTTGTCATCACCACAGTAACTACTTGCCTCAGTGTGTTAATAGGAGCACACTGGTAAGGTGGTAAGAGCAAAGGTAAGTTTGAAGTCCTGATAGTGATGTAGTAACCTGAGTTTTCTCTTTCATCTTTGATTTACTTGTTTTGCATTGAGTCTCTGAACAAAGGGAAAATGCATTTGCCAACCTGCTCACTCTTTGGTGCATGAAGGGAGTGAGGCTGCTCTGGATGCTGATGGAAGTGGTTGGCTCTTGTTCACAGTATCTGCTTTTTCTTCTTCTATCCTATCCTTAGATTTTGCTGGAGGAGCTTGCCAATAGTGATCCCAAGTTAGCCCTCACTGGTGTCCCTATAGTGCAGTGGCCAAAAAGGGATAAGGTAAGAAACTTCTGTTTGATTTTCAAGCTGTTTAAGGGTTTTGCCAGTTGATCATTACCTTCTAGGAAGAAAAGGACAACTAGAGGCACATGGCTTTTGGTGCATTAATACAAACTGACATAAGATCTTTACTCACTCTGTCCCGACTCTTAGGTCAGGGTAATTGACTGTCTTTGGAGGTGACTTTCTTAACAGGACTGTCATATTGGGAGGTTCAGATACCAAGTTGTATATTAGTTGACCAGAGAATATAAGTTCCTATTCTTCAGACCAGAAAACTCAGTTATCTTCACAGATGGGATTTAAAACAAGTACATACATATTTGAAAGAGGTTTTTTTCTCGTTGTTGTTACAGTGAAGACATCCATGCTTTCAAGATTCCTCTTAATTGGGACTTTTCTGTGTGGAATTGAAAAGAATTACCATAAACTAATAAATTGTCAGATACGAATGTTCATGCCTATAGTTAATGTCATGTGTAATTTTTTACCATATCATCCCATGTCAAGGTTGATGTATTAGGTAAACAGTAGCATTCTGATCCTGGCCATGAGTTTGGTAGATAAATTAGCCCCCTCTCTAAGTTTCCAAGTTGAAACTTGCAAAGCCATCTAATTCCAGCGGTATTTAGGCAGAACGTAAAGGTGTGGAGTTGAATGATGCCTTTAAAGAACCTCCTCCCCCCTTCCCAGGTATAGGAGTCCCATTTGGCCACATGGGACTGCCTCAAAACAATTCAGTCACTTATGACTGTTGAGTATTTTGTGTCAGAAAAGTGTTTAAGAAATGGTGGGAAATTAAAGAAGCAGAAGATATGGTCCTTGTCCTTGAAAAGGTCACTAGCAAGGTAAATACAAGTACAAAATTATAAACATACACCTGAAAGTTTTGTTCCACATTAAATGTTACTGGATGTCTGCTGTGTACCAGGTCGTGTTCTAGGATTTGTAGTGATGAACAAAAGCAGTTTCACCCTTCGGTACTTTGCTGTCCTGTTCAGGAGTATGTTCTGAGTAGTCAGACTAAGGAAATAGTGAAAGGCCAGCCCCTGGGGTGACTTCAGTACATGGCACTTACCCAAGAAAGCTTCAGGGTGGGGCAAATCTTACAGTTATATAAAATAAAAGGGATGGGACTGAAGTAGGCTGAAGGCTTAGGACAGGGGCTGGCAATTTTATTCTGTGAATGTTGAGATGATAAATATTTTAGGTGTGATACTCCACACAGTCACAACTTCTCAGGTCTACCATAGCATGAAAGCAACCATAAACAATACATAACAAATGACCATGGCTATGTTTCAATAAAATTTACTTATAAAAATAGGCAGCAGTCAGATTTTCTCATAGGCCAGAGTTTGCCAAGTCTTGGGCGAGGTACACTTCATGTAATCTTCTACCCTCTCCAGTCTTAAAGCAACCTGATAGGGTTGACCTCACTGCTTTCTCTTTGCAGCTTAAATTCCCCACCCGTCCAAAGGTGCGGGTTCCCACCATCCCCATTACAAAACCTCATACCATGAAGCCAGCTCCACGGTTAACACCAGTGAGGCCTGCAGCTGCCTCTCCCATTGTGTCAGGAGCCAGACGGAGAAGAGTGCGTTGTCGGAAATGCAAAGCCTGTGTGCAAGGAGAGTGTGGTGTTTGCCACTACTGCAGGGACATGAAGAAGTTCGGGGGCCCTGGACGCATGAAGCAGTCCTGTGTCCTTCGACAGTGCTTGGCAGTGAGTGATACTCTGGGTAAAGACTTTGCGGGGGGAGGATCACTGGTCCCAGTAGGACTAGAATACACATGGTAGAGTTAAGAGAGATTGCAGAGCTGAAAAGTAGTTAATGCTCTTTGACTTTCTCATTTTGTCCCTCTCTCCCTGGGGGGTTCCAGTAGTGAAAATAATCTAATCTTTTGGCCTTACCTAATTTTCAAACAAGAAACAGCATTTAAAAGGCAAGTTACTGCCTTCTGTCCCCTCCCCACCAAGAATAAGCCAACAGAAAGTAAACTAGTCTCTGTTGGTAGTTCTCAGGCAGTTGAATCCCCCATCTTCTCCCTAGTCATTTCTCTGTTAAAATCCTCTCTTATCTTTACCCTGTCTTTGTGCTCTCTGCATGTTTACTAGAGAATTACAGCAACCAAGTTTCCTATCTTCAGTTATAGGGGAGCTGAAAAGAGAAGGATCTAAGTCTATTTTCTTGGTTTCTATCTTTGTCCTCTTGTAGCCCAGACTGCCTCACTCAGTCACATGTTCCCTCTGTGGAGAGGTAGATCAAAATGAAGAGACACAGGACTTTGAGAAGAAACTCATGGAATGCTGTATCTGCAATGAGATCGTTCATCCTGGCTGCCTGCAGGTGAGGAGAGGCCTAAAAGTCCCTGAAATCTCAGCTGGTAGAACAACAGGATGGTGGGACACCTGTCATGAGAGGCTGCCACCATCCCTACTGTGCGCCCTCACCTTCACGGTTACAGAGTGGAATAGTCTAACATCAATCCCTTTATTCAAGTGTCTGCAGTGTCAGGCTCTATGGTAGACCCTGAAGATAGAACAGTATACAAAATAGGACAGTTTCTGCCCTCCTGGAGCTTACAGTCTAGCCTCTGGACAGTATATTTGGAGTCCCCAGGCCATCATGGAAGTACAAAGTCTTCTTTTGGGTTGCCCCAAGCCTTCAGGCTTTTCTGCCAACCCCTCAGTGTTATCTCTGGATATTGGTTCCCAAAGAATGGTTAAGGTTATAATATCAACTAACATTGTCTATATCAGACTCAGCATATAACTGAACTGTTTAAAAAAAAAAAAGTAATAAGACCAACTCAGGCAAATAATTCATAAGACCCCCATCTCCAAAAAATTATCCAGAACAAAATGGACTGGAGGTGTAGCTCAAGTGGTAGAACACCTGCTTTGCAAGTGTGAAGCCCTGAGTTCAAACCCCAGTCCCACCACAAAAAAAAAAGATCCAAGCATGATGGCATATGTCTATAATCCCAGCACTCAGGAGGATCTCAAAATTTGAGACAACATAGTGAGTTCCAGCCTTGGGGCACATACCAAGACCTGTCTCAAAAACAAACAAGCAAAAAGTAATAGGGAAGTGCAGAACTGAACCTCAGAGTTGCAGTCCAATGATCTAGCAGGTTCCTGTGTTCCCAAAGCTCCCCAAATGATCCTGGTGTGCAATCAGAGCATTTTCCTTTTAATCTGTAAGATTAAAGATAGCCCTGTGAAATTGGATCATATTTAAGTATAAAGTATATAGATGATTGGTATAATGGTATGCATCTAGAGTCCCAGTTACTCAGGAGTCTGAGGCATGAGATAGGAGGATCATCATGAGTTCCTAGCAAGACCCCATCTGGGGGGGGGGGGGAAGATGTTGTGTGCTGGTACTTTCTTGCTTTCCCAGAAGGTGACAACTATGTTATAACTGCCACCTGGCTGACAATAAGACATTGCTAGTTGTGAGAAACAGCCCAATTTCAGAAAGATTAAAATGTGAAAAATATGCAACTTAGAATATATGGGTGATGACTGGTTAATACAAAGCATTTAGTATGTGTCAAGCATTTTTCTAAACACTTTATATAATACACAGTTGATTTAATTTTCACCACAACTCTTTGTTATTTATTGTATCCCAATCAATGGTATCGGTGTACTGTTACAATGTATCCCAATTGTACAGTATAGAATACTGAGTTTCAAACACTAGATCATTGGTCTCTGAACCCAGGCAGTCATAAGTATGCTCAGCCAGTAAGTATGTTCAGATTTGGTGTCACTGGCACAAGATCCTCAACAGAATCTTGTGTGTCAGGACAGAAGACCCCAAAGTGACCCAGACTCTTAGAAGTTTCTTAATGGAACCTAACTTTGGTCAAGTAACCAAGAGGGTGACCAATTTCCCAGTGACTGAGAGCGGTATGGGTGTAGTTTAGAGCTGATTAGCTCTCACTTTGTCCTCCTGTATAGACCAGTGTGTTTAGAAATGGATAACTCTTGTAGTTTCTTCCCACTATGTTACTGTGTGATAAAGAATGCAAAAGAAACTGATTTTAATATCCCTATCTGCCTATAGATGGATGGAGAAGGGTTGCTTAACGAGGAATTGCCAAATTGCTGGGAATGTCCAAAGTGTTACCAGGAGGACAGCTCAGAGAAAGCCCAGGTAAAGCAACATGTCCATACTTATTTTGTGACAGGACTGGAAATGTCCAGTCTGAGAGATTGCTATATGTTTGCCTTTGCAATAATATTCATGAGGTTTCTCTGACCCAGGGACATCGTTTTTGTACTGTTTGAGCTTATTTCTTTTGTTACTTTTTTGTTTGTTAGAGCTTATATATTTTATTTTTTGTATTACTAAATATTGTTCCAGTTGGGATTCACGAATTCCTGAGATCCTCATGTACTCTGGGGCACTAGCATGAGAGGAAATCAACCCTGGGCTGTTGAGGAGGGAAATTAGGTGTGCAGCCCTGGCCTGAGGAATGTAACTCGAGGGGAAGGCCTTGGCCTGAGGCAGCAGGTGCTGGAATTGTGTACTGGAGTTTCCAGTTAAGCAGGTTCACATTTTTGTCGTCTTCACCTCTGGGGCCTCCCAGAAAGACCTGCCCACCGCATATGCTCAGATGTGTCATTCAAAGGCAGCCCCTCCTCTAGAGGAGGTAGGGACCAGCTCCATGACCTTGGCCCAGGGCAGCTGAGGTTGCTGGCCTAATGGTTGCCAGTAATGTCAGTGGGCCAAAAGGACTCTGGTTACTTGCATTGGCAAGGCAGGATCTGCTGAAGGCACATAAAGGAGGAGGTGGTAGGCCTAGTATCAGTTCTCCAGCCTTGCACAGGAGTAGGAAAGTGGGCATAAGAGAGTTTCTTTATCTTATTTAAGTTTCATCCTCAATATCTGAGGATTTGAGGGTTTGTAGAGTTTGGTAGTGCTGAGGTTCTTCTCATTCCAAGTTTTTTGCTAGTAGATTTTGTATTTATCTTCACTAGTGGTGCTGTAGTAGCAGAGGAACTGGCAGGTGTTGTATTTTAGTTAACTTTCTGATAAGGAAGGATAGGTGCCACAGGATGAGGTAGGGACCTTGCAGGAGCTCCTAACTGTAATCCTGAGCAGATCCCACTGCAGTGGCACAGATTCTAACGGAGGTTCACGTTCACATTGGGCATGGAATGGAAACAGCAGCTGGGAGAGCAAAGCTAAAGAAGCCGAAAGTCGGTGACATCTTCCACTCTCCTGAGTCCGAGGGATAGGTGGACTTTTTCTTCCAACATGAGACACATCACTTGTGTGAAAGAACAAAATTAGAAACAACATTAAAAATGGTCAGGTTACACAGGGGTAGAGTGGTAGCCTGTTTAAAGAGTATTTTTATCCAGGGAATTATCCAAAAATTGGGACAAGGGATGAATACAGTTGGGTATGAGATTTTGGATCTTATTCCTCTGTACTTGGACACAAACCTTTTTGTCACAGGTAGGTTCTTAAGTGACCTATTTAAAGATTTTTTTTGTTCCATAATCAGGGTTCTCTCGCACAGGCATGAGCTCTTTTGCTGATCTCAGCAGTCTAAATTACAGACTCTGAGGAAATGGCTCCCTCTGGCAGCAGTGACCTGACCTCTCTTGGAATCACCCTGTCGCTTTAGAGGTTTTGATAAAAAAGGAAGCACTGATGTCGCTTTTCTGGGCGTGTTTTGCAGAAGCGGAAAATGGAAGAGAGCGATGAGGAAACTGTGCAAGCCAAAGTCCTGAGGCCCCTGCGGAGCTGCGAGGAGCCCCTCACGCCCCCACCTCACTCACCCACTTCCATGCTGCAGCTCATCCACGATCCGGTCTCCCCCCGGGGTATGGTGACTCGGTCATCCCCTGGGGCTGGCCCCAGCGACCACCACAGTGCCAGCCGCGATGAGCGCTTCAAACGGCGGCAGTTGCTGCGGCTACAGGCCACAGAGCGCACCATGGTACGGGAAAAGGAGAACAATCCCAGCGGCAAAAAGGAGCTGTCTGAAGTTGAGAAAGCCAAGATCCGGGGATCGTACCTCACTGTCACGCTACAGAGGCCCACCAAAGAGCTCCACGGGACATCCATTGTGCCCAAGCTGCAGGCCATCACGGCCTCCTCTGCCAACCTTCGCCATTCCCCCCGTGTGCTAGTGCAGCACTGCCCAGCCCGAACCCCCCAGCGTGGGGATGAGGAGGGACTGGGGGGAGAGGAGGAGGAAGAGGAGGAGGAGGAGGAGGAGGAAGATGACAGTGCAGAGGAGGGGGGTGCGGCCAGACTGAATGGCCGGGGCAGTTGGGCTCAGGATGGAGACGAAAGCTGGATGCAGCGGGAGGTCTGGATGTCTGTCTTCCGCTACCTCAGCCGCAGAGAACTTTGTGAATGTATGCGAGTGTGCAAGACGTGGTATAAATGGTGAGCAGGGATACAGGGGATCAGGAATAGGGGAATGGGAGTAGGTGGCAGGTCTTCCATATGAAAATGGCATGTACCTTGACATCTGAAGGCTTGTGTAGTCGTATAGGGAGTGAAGGAACCCAATCTGTGTGGGTCCTCTAAAAGAAAGATGTGGCCCATTGTGCCTGAAGATGTCATTAGGGGAATTTGGTCCTTTGCCTCCTTTCCCTGCTCTATGCTTCCCCATGTCTCTGCTGGAGGGAGAGGAACTGATTGGGGGTGGGTAGATTTGTGTAGTCTCTGTTAAAGGGTAAGGGTCCTTCAGGCTAGAAGGCTGCTCCCTCCCTCCCCTCTCCCCAACTCATTACATGCTGTTTGAGATCCTGTGACAGACTAGTCACTCATCTGGTTTTGATAACAGATGCCTGCATCTAGAGCCCCTAGTGCAGGAGCATCCACTGAAAGTAGTGGGTATGTTTTCCAAGATGAATTTGAAGGTACTCATATTTTTCCACAATTTTTATTCTCATCCCTCAAACCTAAATTGGTATTCCTTTTTCCAGCAAGCAGGATCTAGTTGTGAAGTTTCCTAAGATTAGTTGTCTTTCTTAATGAGACCATTTCTCTTCAAGTTGAACAAACACTTAGTGGAGAAAATCCCTAGGGATGATGAACAAAGAACTTCCTGTTGGGCGTTGCGGGTTTTTCCTTAAGCTCTAGGATATATCCCGCATATCTGGGTCACACCCTATTATAGTAGTTCCTAAAGTGTGACATCCTGACCAGCAGCATCAGAGTCTCTGGGACAGGCCCAGCAGTGCACTCACAGCCTTTCCTCCAAGGGGATGACACACGCTCCAGCTTGAAGACCCTTCTGTATGTCAGCATCTTGCTCTTGCCACAGAAATTTTATGTACTATTGGTGAAATTTTGTCAGTTTTTAAATAAATACCCTATTCTTTGCCAATACAAGTTTATCTCCCAAATTAGAATTGACATGTGATCCACTTAAATTCTCCTCAGTATTTCTTTTTGTATAGCTAGTGGGCCTGCCTCTCTTTGCCCCTTAGTTTTCCAGGCCATGGCATGTAAGAAAGACTCCATTATGTGCTGTCTCACCATCCCCTGCCAGCTAGACTCTGAGCTGGGCTTGGAGGCATGAACTGTAAAATATGAATGTGGCCTGTGAATTCGTAGACGGCAGTGAAAAGGCAAGCCTCTCCCTCTCAGTTCTGGCCAGGACTGGCTAGAAAATGTCAAACTAGCAATGAGGCAGAAACTTTTGAGTGTGGCAGAGGGCTCTCTAGGCCTAATAAAGAGCCGCTTTCTGTTGGGTGCCAGTGGCTCACACTAGTAATCCTAGTTAACCTAGAGATCAGGAGGATCACAGTTTGAGGCCAGCCTGGGCAAATACTTCATGAAACCCTATCTCAAAAATACCCAACACAGAAAAGTGCTGGTAGAGTGGCTCCACTGGTAGACCACCTGCTTAGCAAGCATGAGGCCCTGAGTTCAAACCCTAATTAAGTTGGGAGGCAGAAATCAGGAGGATCACAGTTCAAAGCCAGCCCAGGCAAATAGTTCATGAGACCCTCTCAAAAATACCCAACACACACACACACACACGTGTGAGAAAAAAAAAAGGCTGGCAGAGTGACTGGCTCAAGCAGTAGAGTGCCTACCTAGCAAGCATAATGCTCTAAGTTCAAACACCAGTATCACCAGTTTAAAAAAAAAAAAAAAAAGCCTCTTTCTGCCTGAGACAGTGATAGACTTACAGCAGGGTGCACTGTGCAGGTTCTACATAGAACCCAGCATCTCCCTCAGCTGTGTGTGACTGACAAGACAGGGAATGGAGCAAGCCAAGTAGTTTCAGGCAGTGAAATTTAAATTTCAGTCAAGAAATTTTAAAATGTTTCCTCATACACCCTTCAGTAAGAGCCACACCATTTTAGTATAAATGAAGGGGTTATAGTGAATTGTTTCTGTGTGTCCCAAGTGAACTGGTCAAATTACGTAGTACTTAACGTACGGGTTTGCCAAGTATCTAGTTCTGTAAGGGACAAGGCAGTTTTTGCCTGTTTTCTGAGGATATCATTGTTCTACTGCTATAGGAGAACACAGGGAGAATGACCTTCCAGGTGCTCTGCTTTTTCCAGAGCCTTCCAGCAGGCTGTGATGGCACTCCATTGACAGAAGTATCAAGTTAATGAGAGTGAGTTCTCTTCCCTCTGTTACAGGTGCTGCGACAAGAGACTTTGGACAAAAATTGACTTGAGTAGGTGTAAGGCCATTGTACCCCAGGCTCTCAGTGGCATCATCAAGAGGCAGCCAGTTAGCCTCGACCTCAGTTGGACCAACATCTCCAAAAAGCAACTGACATGGCTGGTCAATAGGCTTCCAGGTAGGTGAGAAGCCAGCCTTGATGCTGTCCTTCCAGAGCTCAGGGAACCAGCAGGGAATGAGGCTGATGGCAGTTCTACTTAGCATTGCTTTAGGGAAGCTTGGGCAGCAGTCCTGTGTCATTGCCTTTCTATTTAGCAAGCGATTACCCAGAGACTACCTTAACTGCTGGTCTCTTCAGCATAGCCACTGAAGAGGTAATTTGAGTCAGATGTTACCTTGATCAGTCTCTTGTAAGCCCTTCAGCATTTTGAGAAAGCTTCAACAGGAGCTAAGCATCAGTTTAACACTAAAGCAGAAGTTGTAACATAGGATACTATAGGAATTCTTTGGACTTGATTACTAGAAGATTGGGACATAGTCCCTTTCTGCCATTAGACTAGAAACCAATTTCACTTTGCTCACGTGGGCTGGTAATTGAAATTTTGAATATGCTCTTAAGCAGAGTATGTTGCATGGCTATTTCCATTTGTTGCAGGACTAAAAGACCTCCTCCTAGCAGGCTGCTCCTGGTCTGCTGTCTCTGCCCTCAGCACCTCCAGCTGCCCCCTTCTCAGGACCCTTGATCTTCGGTGGGCAGTAGGGATCAAGGACCCTCAAATTCGGGACTTGCTGACTCCACCAGCCGATAAACCAGGTATGCTCTGGACTTCTGTGCTTGTCTTGGGGTACCTTTGTCTTTGAACAGACATTGTCAGAATGAAGCTGTGGAAGAGTGCAAGACGAAGATAAAGTCATGGGCTGCCTACAAATCATTTATAAGTAGGTAGTTACCACAAAGGAGGAAGTCCACTCTGTGGGTCAGTGATGTTCAGGGTCCCAGAGAAAAGTCTCACTAGGTTTCATAGTTGAGGTGGAATATCAAAAGCTGCTTGCACAATAGTCTGGAAACTAGAAAATTGTAGGGCTGTGAAGGGAAGGAAAGGAGCATTCCATACATAGCCATGTAAGTGAGGCATAATCTGGCACTGGAGAGAAAGAAAACTTGTTTCCTAGAAACTGTCCCCACGCACTGCTTACTGCCTGAAGTGTGGTTGGGTGTAGGCACTTTTGCTTAACCCCATCAAGGCAGTCTGGCCAGCAAGTAGCTGATGCCACCGGGGCCTTTGGAGCTGAATTAGCAAATTAAGAATTTTGATCTAGGCTCTTTTCTTGCCTGTGCAGGTCAGGACAATCGCAGCAAGCTCCGGAACATGACTGACTTCCGGCTGGCAGGCCTTGACATCACGGATGCCACGCTTCGGCTCATCATCCGCCATATGCCCCTCCTGTCTCGGCTGGACCTCAGTCACTGCAGCCACCTTACTGACCAGTCCTCCAACCTACTCACCGCTGTCGGGTCTTCCACTCGTTACTCCCTCACAGAGCTCAATATGGCAGGTATGCTGCTGCCTTTGTTTATGCTGAACAGTGCTCCTTCTTAGAGGCTCAGCCATCCCTGGAATTCAGCCAGTATGCCAAATGATTTGGGGTCAGTTGATTAAACCCTGTTAGCTCATTTCTTCACACCTGCATAAGAGCATGGCTTTCTATCCCTGTTTTTAATTTAATGAAGTGCTGAGGCCTGGAGTAGTTAAGACAGGTGTCCACATGCATGGCCACTCTCCAGCTGCAGTTAGGTCAGCCTCCCAGGCCTTGTGTTTGCTTTCCTGTGGTGGTGGGAGGGAGGCAGCACAAAGCCTTCAGAGGCCACGGTGCTTGAAGGCACCTCTGGGACTTAGGGAATCAGATGGCTTTTGCTTAGCATTTTGGAGAAAGATGGTTAAGGGAACTGAATGACAGAGGAAGGCATCTGTGGCTGTGTGTTTGTTTATGACCTTTATTCTCTTGGCCCTTTGCCTACAGGTTGCAATAAATTAACAGACCAGACCCTGATCTACCTACGGCGCATTGCCAATGTCACCTTGATCGACCTTCGAGGATGCAAGCAGATAACTCGAAAAGCCTGTGAGCACTTCATCTCAGACTTGTCTATCAACAGCCTGTACTGCCTGTCTGATGAGAAGCTGATACAGAAGATCAGCTAAGACACACCCAGCCTGAACTCATCAGGAAACTGATCTTCCCCAGCCTTCCTACCGAGGAGAGCCTTTCCCTGCTCCAAGGCCAGCGTCATACTCCCTCTCTGCTCTCCTGCCTCTGAGCCCTTCTCCCACAGGTGGGGCAGAGAGGGTGATGGACACCAGGCTTACCCGCCTGCTTCTCTCCCTCCCAAGGAAAAGAGAGCAGCAGTGGATCCAAGGGAAAGCACAGGCTGTGCTGTCGCGGTGCCCGCCCACTTGCTCACATGCCAGGAGGCTGGGCTCTCAGTTTGAGGGCTTGTGCAGCCTTCACCTGCACTGGGCCCAGGGCCCCTCCTGTCCACTTGTGGTCCCCAGCAGTGCCTGGTTCTGAGCAAACTCCAGGGAAGAAAGTGGCCCTGCCTCGGTGGCCATGTTCTCCTCACGGTGTCCAGTCCGTGTCTCCCTGTCATACTCTCCCGGCTTTTGCAGGAGGGGCCTGTAGCCCCAGGACACCAAGCCTGGCAGGTCCCACTGGTGCTGTCAAGATGTCCGAAGCCTCACACCCAACATCTGCGCTCACTCTCATTTCCTGTCCTCGAGCTTGATGCTGTTCACTGCTCGTGCTCATTCACATAATGCAGCTCCCACCTTCCTACCTGCCCCTCCCAACTTTCCCACCAGTCTCTGTGAGGTCCTTGTTGCACTTACTGGGGTTAAAGCTCTTTAGAGGAGCTAGAACTGAACCCCCAGGGACACACCAATATCATTGCTACCCAGGCAGATCCTGAGAAGGCACCATCTCTTATCCCCATTGTCTTTGCCTCCCACTAATTGCCCTTTTCCATATGTCCTGAATAGGGCTTTCCCAGGATGCATGTTCTCAGAGGGAGCAGCCTGTTTCCCCCAGGTGAGGGTAGCAGAGGACTGGCTGAGTCCCCCCACCTGCCTCTAGGCCAGGCTCTTCCAGCCTCTGGTTTAGTGTAGCCCCCCTGAGTCCAGGCCTGTGTATCGTCCCAGTGGCTCACTGACCTGGTGCCTTTTGAGGGGAGGGGGGGGTTCTGCTTGAAAGCCAGTTACCTGCCCTCTGCCCGCAGCTGTGGAAGGGGGTGTGCATGTGCCTCTGTGTGTGTGGCTGAGTGTGCTACGTGTGTGTGTGCGCACGCGCGCGCGTGCAGGGAGGAAAGAAGGGAGCATGGTGTCTCCCATTCTACCGCCCGTTGGCAAGCCCCATCAGCTGCCCCTTTTTACTTTGCATTGAACGGCCTGTCCAAAGACCCTCTCTCTAGGGCAGCAGAGAGCTTTTTGCACTTTAAAAAGAGAGAGAGAAAGAAAGGTCGGAATTTCTTTTGGATCAATATTTAAGTGTGTGAGGAGATGCTCAGTAGCAGCAGCTGGTGACGAGCTTATATGTGATAGATGCAAATTTGCACTCTGCTCCCCATCTGTAGGAGATTGATAGCACAACCTTGCCCTGCCTTTTTGTCCTTCAGACCCGCCCCTTCCAGCCCCTTTCCTGTAGCCCAGTCTCAGGCTTTCCTCCCCTAAGCCCCATCCAGAGGGGATGGAGCCCAGGCACCAGGGGTCTGAAGTGTGAGCCACCCAGGAGAGATGACAACAAAACCCTTGCCACTGCCAAAGCAATAGATGAGAAAGGTCCCCCTCTTTGCCACCTAGCCCAGCTTTGACCCTGGCATCAGTCTTTTTAGAGGAAATTGGGTCCAGGTAGGGGGTGGCATTGTGTCTGTTTCTTCCAATCTGCTGATTCTCTTGGCTGCACCTTAAAAACAGCAGTCTGCTCCCATGACCCTCTGCCCCTTCCATTGGTTTCCAGACCCCAGCAATCTGGGGCTGAAACTTTGAGGAAATGCCAGTGACTTATCCCAGAGTGCCTCAGTTAGGGGAACTTCTCTGTAAAGAACCCTGGGTATTGAGCAAAAACCTTATTAATATTGTTAATGACCTATAATTGGAATTTTTTTTTTTTGGTTGCTCCTGTGGAAAAATATTGAAAAGATTACTGTTCTGTTTTGTTGACTTTTTCTAAAAGGGGAGGTGGAGAGACCCCTTCAGAGCAGGGATTGTGCCGGGAGAGTGCCTCTTGACTTTGGGACAGTTCATCTACAGAAATTTCCAAGCTGGTGGTTTGTTTTGGGTTTTGGTTTTTACGTTTGTTGGTTGGTTGGTTTGGAAAAAAAAAAAAAGGCAAAAAAATAATAATAATAATAACCAAGCATTTACATCCTGCACGTAAATTGGTCAGGCAAAAAGGGAGCCCAGGATGGCAACAGATGGACCAATGCCCTTGCTGGGTTTTACTTTTCCTTGGGACTTGGAGGG